TTATACCCCAATAAAGATGTTAAAAATAAAAACATTATATTGAGCACCAAACACAAAAGAATACATACTTTATGATTCTATTTATACCCCAATAAAGATGTTAAAAATAAAAACATTATATTGAGCACCAAACACAAAAGAATACATACTTTATGATTCTATTAATATGAAGTTCAAGAACAGGCAAAACTAACTTATGGTGATAGAAATTAGAACAGTGCTGGGTGACTGGAAAGAGGCACAGAGTAATTTTCTGGAATGATGGAAAGGTCCTCTATCTTGTATTGCGGGTAGTTATATGTGTTCCCATTCGTCAAAATTCAAAGAGCAGTAGACTTAAGATGTGGGCATTTGACATTATCGAGGAGTACTGTCAGTATGGAAGAAAGAGAGAGAGGACAATAAAGAAAGAGAGAGAAGTGTATTCTAGGAGGATTGCCTCTTACATTAGTCAAGTCCTAGAAAATGAAAACAGCCCTTTCCTGCCCTTAGGTTATAAGCGTTAAAAATAAACCGTGAAGCCTCTGTCCTATGACTTTTGGTTCCTGGATGGCTTAAACTTTCTTTTAAAAAGTAAACTAGGGACTAATGATTCTCATTGGGGTAGGGACTCATTGAACTTATTTCTAAATTCAAGCCAAGGCAAGAGTTTCCAGCCTTCGGGACGGCCTCCCCACGCTCCGGGTCCCTAGTGGATCTCTAAATAAGTTGGCAGTTCTGCAAGGAGACATTTGCTACAATCAGCTTCCTTAACTTGAAAGCTCCAGTGGCTGAAGTTAATTGTGTCTGGCCTTGGCCCCCTTGGCCTCCCCACCTTTGATGGGTTTCTCTTCTGTTCTAGCTATGCCACAAGAGGCATTTTACTGGGCCCTTCCCAGCAAGGAATAAAATTGCAAACATTTTGGAGGTATCCTTTTGTTTTGTTTTGTTTCTAAGGAAGGACTGCTTAAGGCTGAACCCTGTGATAACCACGAGTATTAAATTGCAGTTGCTTATGTGGCTACAGGGGGGAAGTAAGTGGGTTGGGTAATCTCTTCAGAGAAATTGACATCAGATTTGGGTAAAATGTTGGGTGACTCCAGGCAATGTGTAAATCAACAGTTCTTATTATTAATCCCGGAAGCCTGGTATTTCTTTGCAAAAGAGGAGAAAAGGAAAACTGCAGTCCTCAGCAGCTCTCTGTACCCACCCAGGTAGAGACCAAGTCCATATTAATCCATGTAAAAAAAATCGATACTTCTGAAAAAGTCAAGGTTTGGGGAGCAGGCACACACATACCTGCAGGGCCTCAGGCATCTTGTGACTTAAGGATGAAGGCCACATGATGAGGATGGTTGGTCAGGGTGACAGAAGAGCCTCCCTCCCTCTTTGATGACATTGTTGGTCTGCCTGCCTCTGGTCTTCTTGTTCCATGAGAAAAATTAACATTTTACTTTTTATTCATGGTCAAGATTTCTGTCAGTCAATGCAAAACCCATCTCTTATTGAAAAAGATTCTTTCATAAATAGAGAGGTAGATATTGCATGTTAATTATTTTTTTTTAAGTGTCAAAGGTGGAAGATGGCAATCTTATTTTCAATTCTTCCCCCCTCCACATACCCGTGCCCTTTGCCATGCCACCTGGCCATTCCTCTCACTTGTGGCAGCACCAAGTATTGTAGTTTCCCAACTTATTGGTACAAGGCTTGGCTGTGGACTTGCTGCGGTCATGGAATGCTGGTGGATGTAAATGAGCAGAGGCTTTAAATTTGGTTATGGGTGGGGCTTGTTCCACTCTGAGAATGTGCCCCTGGGAGCTGCTGGCCTGGAGGGATGAGAGACAACGAAAATAGGCCTGACCCCACCTGCAGCTGGGAGCCCATTCCGCTGCCCCAGCCTGAAGAAGAGCCACCCAGCAGAGCCCAGCCCCGATCAGCCTAACCTCAGACAACCTGCCCACTGTGAGCATGAGAGTAACTGTCTGTGGTAAGCCACTGAGTTCTGGGATATTTTGTTTTGCATTAATATTGTGGCTAATGAAGTAATACTAAACCTGCAGTTTTGTAGCTTAGTTTTTCAGTTAGCAATATACCATAAACACAAATATGCTTCTACAACTTGAGTTTTAAAGGATGCGTAATATTCCATAGTATGGAATATCCTAATTCTTTCCTTCAGTTACCTATAATTGGACACTTGGGTCCAATTATTTTATTAGGGTTTTGCTAATAAATCTGCCACAAAATCCTTGTATAAGTCTCTATGCATGTTCTTAGGTTCCCTAAAATAAATCTTTAAAGAACAAATTTCTACAAGTGGAATTGCTAAGTCAGAGCAGATACACATTTTAAGGCTTTTCATACATATTACCACATGGCCGTTCAGAAAGACTGGAATAATTCATGTTTCTACCAGCAAGGAATGAAAGTACTCATTTCCCCAGATCTTTCCAGGATTGAATATCATCATGCTTATCATTTTTGTACAAAATCTTGGTGGTTGGATGGTAGTGACCATTTTTTAGTGTTATGTGTGTTTTTTCTTATTATAAAAGAAATGCAGGTTAAATATGGAAATATAAGTATGTGAAAAGAATAAAATACGAATCACCCAAAACGCCATTTCCAAATGATACCCAATGCCAACATTTTGTACAAATCCTCAAGTGGTTTATATTTGAACTGTATACACTTAGATATTTACATGTTTTTGCAGGTCACACACGTAGATGTGAACAGAGAAACTTAGTTCACCTCTCTATAATGGAAATAAACTTGATCTTGAGCCCCTAATCCAACTGCGTAGAAAAAAGCACTTAAATTTGCTACCTGTTATGGACTGACTTTTTGTGTCCCTCTCCACCCTCTCTCCATCACCCCTGCCTACCCCTCGCCCAGCCCAGTTCATATGTCAAAGCCTTGACCTCCAGGGTGACTGTATTTGGACTAAGAAAGTATTAAGGTTAAGTGAAGTCGTAAGGATCGCGCCTTGATCTGATTGGACTGATGTCCTTATAGGAAGAGGCACCAGACAGCTTCTCTGTCCCCTCAAACGCACAAGGAGGTCATGTGAGCACATAGCAAGATGGCGCCATCTATATGCGAAGAGAAGAGGCCTCAGAATGAAACTTAACCTTTCCAGCACTTTGGTCTTGGATTTCCCAGCCTCCAGAACAGTGAGACAATAAATTTCTGTTGTGTAAGCCACCCAGTCTCTGGTTATTTGTTACGGCAGCTCGAGCTAATACAATAACTTAAATTATCTTTTGATAATTTCAGGTTTAAATAGCTTCTTTTGACTACTCAGTGTCTTTCAGTTAACTAGTCAGTTTTTTCAGGATTTCTCCCTACTTCCCTTTTCCTCCTCCTTTCCCAAAGGGGTAACTGATGGTCAGAGATGGCTTCCTGTCTCACGGCAAAGGACTGGTGGCATCTGCTCTTTGGCCTTCTCTAAGTCCCAGATCATCCCTCCTGCTCATGGGCATTTCGGCTGAGTCTACAGAGCTGTGTCTATTACCATCTTGTGTGCCTGCTGGCTGGCTCTTGCTGCTAAAGCCTGTGGTCCGTGGGAAAGTCCCCGCTTCAAAGATTCCTACAATCCAAAGCCTCCCTGTCCCGGTCTCAACTCTCTTTTTTCCCATAGATACTCTTGGCACTTCCACAAGCCCAAAGGGGTATGTGCAGCTTCTGAATGTCTTCCTCACATGCCACGCTCAGGGGTGGGTATGAAGGATTAGCTCAGGTCCTCACTTTTGCACCTCCTTCCTCAGACCCTGCTAATCTCCTGCCCGGGAATCATGTTGCCCCCAGACTCTCCTTTCTCCCAAGGTACCCAGGTTCCACTGGGTCTGTCCAGGTGCTCCTGCCATTGCCTGCCCCTTGGCTGCCCAGGACTCAGCAGGATATGGGTGCCAAGGGCTTCTTGAGGCTCCTTCTCTCATCCCTGCGGAATTCTTTCCAGGTTCCTCCCCAGGGCCCTGGAAGGGCCTGTCTTCTTCCTATGGGCGGCGAGCTCCCCTCATGTCATAGCCTACACACTGTGACCTACTCTGTGGCCTTTCCTCAAAGCTTTAGTTCTTTTTTTTTTTTTTTTTAACTTGGCTGTTTTCTTTTTTTCTGCAGCTTTATTTTTTATTTTTTTTGGCTGCACCAAGCGGCATGTGGGATCTTAGTTCCCTGACCAGGGATCGAACCCATGCCCCCTGCATTGGAAGTGCAGAGTCTTAACCACTGGACGGCCAGGGAAGTCCTCAAAGCTTTAGTTCTTGATATATAAATTGCAACTTTGGAAATTCTAAGAAATCCTTTTTCTTTCTCTTTTGAAAACTTGGCTTTCAAGTCTACTGCCTTCCTTTTCCCCCAACTACTCACCAAGGACCTTGAAAAATTTAGTTTGAAGCATCCAACAAATTGATGAATTCTCTCCTGAGCAGTATCCATTCTCTTCGCAAAGCGGTGAATCTTTCAGCTTCAATAAGTTGATAGTCACCCAGTAAGTAGGAACAAATTGTGTCTTAATATTTTAAAAAAATATGATCCCTGGGCTTCCCTGGTGGCGCAGTGGTTGAGAGTCCGCCTGCCGATGCAGGGGACAAGGGTTCGTGCCCCGGTCCGGGAAGATCCCACAGGCCGTGGAGCGGCTGGGCCCGTGAGCCATGGCCGCTGAGCCTGCACGTCCGGAGCCTGTGCTCCTCAACGGGAGAGGCCACAACAGTGAGAGGCCCACATACCGAAAAAAAATATATATATATAATCCCTGCTACCTATGATATACACATATGTACACCACTGACCTTTTTAAAGGCTGCGTCTTCTTCAGGATGTTCAATATTCCATAATGAATTCAAACAAGCTTGTTTCTCCATGTTGCTTTTCTCTGACTGTAATTCCGAGTCCATGTCCTGCTATGCATGGGTAAGGGACTATTCCCCAAACTGGGAGATCTTAGGTCAGGGTTGATTCAGGGGTGTGGTACCCAATATTGTCTAGGAAGCAGAGTATGAGTTGAAAGTGGTGGGTTAGTGTACCATAATCAAGGAATAACATAAAGTGAAAAGGTGGCCTTCAGTGACAGACGAGGCATGAGAGTGGGGCAGGATACAAGGTGAAGTGGAGGTGGCAGAAATGGCTAATACACCTTCTCTTTTTCTGGAGCAGTGATTCTTAACTGGGGGTGATTTTGGCCCCTAGGGGACATTAGGCAATGGCTGGAAACACTTTTGTTCATCACACATAGGGGGCTGCTACTGGCATCTAGAAGGTAGAGGCCAGGGATGCTGCTAAATGCTCTACAGTGCACAGGGTAGCTTCTGCACCTAAGACTCATCAGGCCCAGCAGTTGTGCCAAGGTTGAACAGCCCTGTCCTATCTTACTGGAATCACTGATTTTTAGGTCACATGGCTGCCAACACTGAGGACTATATTTCCCAGCCTGTTTTGTAGTTTGGTGTGACCATGTGACTAAGTTCTGGCTAACGAGACTTAGGCTAATGTAGCAACTTCTGGGAACTGTCCTTGAAGGAAAAACGCATGCTCTTCTCCTTCCCTTGTGTCCTTCCTCATGGCTGGAATGCGATTGTGTTGGCTGGAGCTCTGGCAGCCATCTTAGAACAATAGGATGACTTTGAGGCCATCTGAAGTGGAGCAAGAAGGAAAAAAGGGTTCCTGACACTGTGAAGCATCTTTCTGCTCTCAAATGTCCCCCCTAAACTCCTTCAAACTAAACAGAAACACTCTACCTTGCTTAGTTTTCTATTATTTCACAGGTTTTTTTTCCTGTTACTTACAGCTGAACTTAATTCTCATCAGTAAAGTGTACTATTTGCACCTACCTTCTGCACTCTGGAATGTGCTAGCTATTGAGATCTGCCATGCCATGATGGGTTAGGGCTACATTCTGGAAGGAGCTGGACTTGGCAAGGAGCAGAGCATGTCTGGGTGGATTGTGGGCAACAGCACAAGAAGTCAACGTGGAAATGGGCTAAGAAGAAGAAGGGGTTGGATTTAAGCTTCATCTTTTTCTGCAGGCTTGCTTAGGTTTGTCCTGGAGTCGGACCAGTGTCCACAACCAGACTCTTCATATGTTTTACGCACCAGCACTCTGTCGCAAAGATGTCCCCAGCATCCTGGTGGCTAAGGTTGGATCCATCTACCTGACCAGGCCTGGCAGCCCTGGTAAGCTCAGCCCTGTGAACAAGCCATAGGGTAACGAAATGTGGGCATGGCTCTTGTTCACGGTTAATGGTCGTGGGTGAAAGGAGCTAAGATAATCTGGTAGATTGTGCTACTAGGTATAATCAATTTTGAAACCCCATAATTAACTGCAAATTCAAATATGGATAAAACCACAGTTAGCCTCAGCAAACTGTGATGTAGGGAGAGCTTATCTTCAACACCTTCCTGACCTTCAGTTTAGAATCTATCCTCAGCTCGCTAAGGTTTCTGGTGCTCTTAGGTTAGCCCTCGGGTTTCCATAGCCGGCGTGGCAATGCGGCCTCTGATATGCCCTTTGCTTGCACCACCCTCTCCTCTGGATCTTCCAAGCTTTCCCACTTTGACACATTTTCTATTCCTTTAAAATGCTGTTCTTTGCCAGGTGATAGCACCTAAGGCACTCATACTTTCTACTCAGTTGAAGTGTTGGTGTATTCGTTTCCTGGGGCTGACATAACAAAGTATCACAAATGGGGTGACTTAAACAACAAATTTATTCTCTCATATTTCTGGAGGCTGGAAGTCTGAGATCAAGGTGTCTGTGGGGTTGGTTCCTTCTGGAGACTATGAGAGAAGGATTTTCTCCAGTCTGCTCTCCCAGATTCTGATGGTTTGCCATCAGTCTTTGGTATTCTTAGACTTGTAGGCTCATGACTCCAATCCTCCACCTTCACACACATTCTCCCTGTGTCTCTTTCCTCTGTGTGTGTCTGTGTGTGTTTGTGTGTGTGTGTATGTGTGTCTAAATTCCTCCTTTTTATAAGGACGTCGGTCATATTGGACGTCGGTCATATTGGATGAGGGCTTGCCCTAATGGCTCCATTTTAACTTGATTACCTTTATAAAGATGCTGTTTCCAAGTAAGGTCACATCCTAAGTCCTGGGAGTTAAGATGTCAACATATCTTTTTGGAGGCACACAATTCAACCCATAAAAGTTGGTCAGCTGAGTGGCACAGTTACATTTTAACAGAGGCTCCTGCATCTCCACTTGTAGGAGTATCTGAGCTATTTAATAAGGAGGGAGCCCATTCTCCCCTCTCCATTCTGAGCCCAGGGTGCATGCCCCTCGGTCACCTGTCACGGGAGCTGTTTTCTCGGTGTGTCACAGGACAAGGCCAGACCTCAAAGCTCCATTGACATTCAGAGATTCATACTCCCTCGTCTCTACAGAAACCTCATGGGTCCAGTGTTGAATTATTGCTTTTTAAGAAGTATAGTCTGAAGCAGGACAAGTATGTCTAAGGAGAAGGCTGTGGACCTGAAACCAGTGGGCAGTGACGGTTGTTTTCAACCAGAAAAGAAGCTAGTGATAAATATTAACAACATAGAAAATGTTCCGGAAATCAGGCCAGCAAAACTTAGGCAGGAGTGTCAAGTACAGCTTCTTATAAATGCTTCTTGTTGTCATTAATCCCAGTTTTAATTTCTAGCCTTATTAAAGACTTAAGGCTTTATCTCCATGTCTTCCCCCTGGAAAACCAGATGCATGTAATGATCTTTATCTCTGTAATTTTCCCAGTGGTCACAGTGTCTGTACTGCTTAATCTTTTACATGTGGATTAATGAGCGCTGGGAAACTCCGTCTCTGTCCCCCTGATGAGTCCCAGCGACAAGCTCTGTGGATTCAGCATTGTTTCTCGGAGCTAGATTTTTACCATGAAAACAAATATTGCAGGGGAGGGGGCCAAATACCCATTTGCTGACCTGGGTCACAACAGAATCCAGTGTCACCACTTCTATGTCTCCTTATGAATGTGTTTACATTCCACCCATGGATGTTGTCTGGACACCTGTCCCAATTACAAATATCCACCATATCCACAGTATCACAGAATAACAGGGAAAGGACCATGATCATAGAAGTAGAGTCTTAAAGCCAAAATTGACCTCAGAGATGAT